ATAGCACAACAGCCAGACGCACGGACAGACATAATGCAATCAACAGTGTACGAAAAAGGCACAAAAATGAAAATTCAACCAAGTCGAGTCGAAAATTTTCATTTTTATTTACGAATAAAATTCGAGGCATTTTTATCGCACATCATAAATTAAAGCGTAAGTTACATTCTCGAGTGGTATTTTCAATTATTTCACAATTTTCTCCCGCGCACACGCTGAAATTCTTCAATTAATTTCTCGTGACTGGACTTCCGGACTTTCGCAATCTACGCATTTATAATTAGTCTCTTTTATCATCATCTACATCAAATTATAAATATGTATATAAAGTAATTTATAGAATGGTGGAGTAAATTTGTAGTAAAAATGTTGTCCATGCGCGCGCATGTCACAATTGTTTGTCCTCAATAAATAGGTCCCAAAGATTGACGTAATTTATAAACAACCTTGGAATCAAGGTCATAGAACTCCCTGCACTATGTCTACAATCACTACTTTTTTACTCAACTTTACAAATTTTTACTTATGTTTCAGTACACTTACTATACAATGTATCACAATCACTGCAATTACTAAACTTTACTGCACTTAATTCCTCTTTACTTCTTTTTACTATATTTAAGTATACTAACCTATACTTTACTTTACTTTACTATACTTTAGTATACTTTAGTATACTTTACCACACTAAGCTTAAATTTTTCACACTTTACTACACTTTAGTGCACTTTACTTCTACTTTTCTCTACTTTATTTTTAATCAAATTAATTAGTGCATAATTACAATCTAAATAGTTATAGGTCTCTTAAACATGTGGTCGATTAATACGTTATAATCATACTTTCAAAAAAAAAAATATAAGATTTTGCAATCATTTTAAAAATTTAAAAGAAAATGTTTAAAAACTTAACTAAAGGTTATAGAATTTAAACTATTATTTCTTTATTTGTTTTTTATTCTATCATTTTAAACCAAATTTAGATGATGGAAAAGAAAGAGCTTACAAAAACATAAAGCAGTAATGCTGCTAAGGCAGAAATAATTTCATTCATGCCAAAGAAATTTCTAATTAATACTTTAAGTTTGTAAGGAAATTTGTCAAAAATAACTATATATATATTATATATATAGAATTTAAACTATTGTAGTATAGAAAAATTGAAAAATTTAAAAAAAAACCTTAAATGTTGTACTTTTGATTTTAAAAATGAGTATTTTTAATTGAAAACTATATTTTAAAATTCAGAAGAAATGTTTTTTAATAATTATAAAAAAACTATGAAAAATTTTGCTTTAGCTTTAAGAATTTCTTCTCGAATTGACTCGAATTTGATTTTTTCACGTAACCTTACATTAAAAAAAAACTAATAAGGACAATTTGTATTAAGTTTAAATTTTTAAAAAAGCTATAAAAACAAGCTTGATATAAATTAGTTTCAATTTATTGTCATTTCAAATTTGAATGAAGGGAAAAGGAATATTTTAAATTTATTTTATAATATGCTAGTTTTTTTATTTTAACAAGATTAACTTTCCAACAAACTTTTAAAAAATAAATATCAAAAGTGTTGATAACATTTCATTTTCCCTAAAACCAACAATATCAAAAACATTGATTCCCACACTCATAGAAAAAATATTAGAATTTGTATGGTTTTGGAAAAAAAAAACAAATATCGAATACTTGAAATTTCGTACAAATCGGAAAAATCAAATATTTGAATATTTGATTTTCCTCAAAACCATACAATTATTTTTATGAGTGCACTTTTCTTTCGTTACTGTTCTTCGAAATTTGGAAGACATCCTTAATGTTGAAATATTTGAATTTAGTTTAACAGTTTTATTTTATTTATATGAGAAAAGATTCATTTTATCTTTGTTAATATTTTCTTAAGACTTAAAAGAATTTTAATGCATGAAATTTCAAATAATAAGCGGTTCTTAAGTTGCGATAACATTGACTATTTATAAATAAATGGTATGGTAAAATATGCATTATTTCAAAATTATTGCACATCAACTTTAAATATTTTGGTTTTTAAAGTTTTAAACAATTTTAGGATGCTGCACTTTCTATACTTTTACTACACTTCCTATACTCTTACTATACTGATTATACTTTTAAAACATTTTACTATACCTAAACTACACTCGCTGCTCTTTTGCTACATTCTACTATACTTTGGTTTACTTTGCTGCACTTTACAATATTTAACTACACTTTGCTCATATTAACTTAATTTTACTCAATAGTTTGTATACGTTACTGCACAATGCTCACTCACGGCTATACTATTTTAGGAGTTCTATGGCCTTGCTTGGAATTGAACATAATAACGAGATTCTGAAACCCAAATCACAAAGGTTTCTAATCAATGCAGTCTACATAACCCAAATTAGCATTCAAGATACTGGTTGCTGAGGATATTTGCATATTCTGTCGACAACAAGTCTTCAGCACCCAAATTAAAAAAAAAATTATGCTTGTTAATTTCCTGCATAAATTAATTCAAATGATCGAGGATCACCCATTTAATCTTAAGTAAAGTCATTCTTAAGTAACCTTTTGAAACTTCATATTTGCATACGAAAAGATGAACTCATAATGATCCTAATATTTCTGACTGCATCAATTTATCATCAAAGAAGCCAACCTTTTGCAAACATGGCAATAATTTGTAGATGAAACTTTATTATTTGCAACAATTTTTATGAAAATTTAACAAAAAAAAAAATAAAAGAAACCTTGAAGTGAATAAAATGTAAATTTTCTTGTTGGCCATAGCCAATTCTAACGTGTATCGTGATAAAACATCATTAATAATTTTTTTGGAGAGAAAAAAAAAATAATAATTTCATGAGAAAGAACTTTAACTAAGGAAAATAAATTTATTTGGATATGGAAATGGCGACCGGTAAAATTAATTTTTGTGCTTATTAATTTTATTTTTTGTGTGTATAAAGTTTTGGATCAAAAATGAACTTGATTTATGGTAGCAAATATTTTCATATTTTCTTGCCATGCTTCTCGCTCCATTTTTTTTAACTCTGAGGAACCTCAAGCTACTAATTTAGGTCAAATTTCAATTGATTGCGTGACAAATCACTTCATTTTGTTATGAATGAATTTTTTTCTGTCGTTGCACAAAGTTCCTAAAGCTTTGGGAATTCTAAGTTTTGCAGGAATTTCTGGCTGGATGTTATAATCGAACGACTTTGGATTCTTTTCAAAGTGTCTCAGCTACACCATTCTAATCTCTTTTTCTTTTTAAATAAAGCTTAAAGCCTCATTTTTGTTTTATTATCAAATTAATTTTATTTTGGAACTGATCAACTGATTTTGTTCATTTTGATCAGTTTGGCATGCTTAATGGTGAGTGTAAGTTTGAAATCAAACGAGTAATCACTTAACTTTCAGAACCTAGGTATGCTCTTTGCACAATGATTCAGATTCGAAAAAAAATGTTCAAAAATTCAAAATTTGTCATATTAAACTTTATCTTTTTAATGCCAGAATAAAGATCTTACCTTGAAGCATATCCTATGGATGGTAGTCAATTGCACCGAAAAATAACAAGTCCACAACACTGGAGAATAATAAAACCAAAAAAATGAAAAATCACAGAGAGATAATAGGGTGGGTCACTTAGATGAAATTAAAATTTGAGGTGAAATAATTATTTTCACGTGCGAGTGAAAAATCACTTTCATTTGTATGTGGGATTTTTGTCTTCACTTGAAGTTAATAAATCCGCAACATTTTTAGGATTCGTCTTTATTATCTCACTATGAGGCAATAAGATCACTTGAAATCAAATTCAATTGAAATTGTATTATGTATTTTTACAAAACTTAAACTATTCATAAGTTAAAAAGTCTTCCAAAGTCTTCTCTGAAACCTATATATATATCAATTGAACAAGCTAAAATCTATCTCCCACACTAATATGGTCATGCCGTTTTCGAGATATTTGCGTTCAAAGTTTACATAAATTTTCATACAAAATTTGGACATGCACAATATTTTTTGATAAACTTTTACATACTTTTGCTAAAAAATCATGTTTATCCTTTATATTATGGACTGAGTTTTTGAGCAATTAATGAAAACATTATGTAGAAGATGCTTGTTGCACAACTGCAAATGGTGAAGTTGATAAATATTTAAAACAAGAAGTTCTGGATCTATTGATAGTAAAAAATAGCCTAATTTATTCATGCTATGCTATCTTCTTTTATACTAATTGCTTCAAGGCCTCACAAAGGAATGTGCACACCAAATTGCACACGGCACTGCAATTATTATGCCCTTGAATGAAAGTATATTCAATTTAGCATAAGGGACTGTTCACTTATTACGTAACGCGAAAAAATGACTTCTTAGACCCCCCCCCCTCGTAACAAAATTTGTATGAAAAAAAAATTTCCTTGTTTGAACCGTAACAAAATCTTAGGCCCCCCCCCCTCCCCCTAAAAGCGTTACGTAATAAGTGAATGGCCCCTAACGTCATTCTAAATTTATACATTACAATAAATTATGAAATACATAATGATTATCAAATTCATTAACGACATAAAATAATTCAAATCTAAAGCATAATTTGGATATGCTAAAGTGACATCTGGTGAAATTTATAGAAAGTATACAAGTATATGATAGATAAATAAATATGTAAATATCGTATATTAACAATGCTTAAAACATCAAATCAAAAGAAATTAACAAAAACTTTCAATTTTCTAATGTGTCGGAAAAATATTGTGCACAAGGAATTTTTAAACACTTTTTTCAAATCTGAATCATTGTGCTTTGCCAATGCAAGCAAACAGAATTTAAAATAATTTCCCAAAAATAAATGAAAAACAAAACCATGAAAGTTGTAGCCCAGGTGTGGGGACTCCAAAAATCGTGCAGGAAAGAACTGAATAAAGTTATTAAAATGCAGTTTAAAACTTTGTTAATCAGTAAAAAGGAGTAAAAAGTAGCAAAGAGTATTAGAAACTAGTGTATCGGGTACAATAGTAAGAGCAGCAAATAAAAGTAAAAAGCAGCAAAGAGGAGGCGAAATTACGACGTAGTAAAAATGAGTAGCGCGAGTTGCAAAAAGCAGCAAAGATAATAGGAAAAATAGCAAATGCGTAGGAAAGAGTGTGTCAGAGTAAAGAGTCCCGACACCTGGATTGTAGCGTTCCTTAATTAAATATACATCCAGTGTGCCGCAATTCAATTGTTTAATTTTTTATCAATTATATAAGCGATTTAAAACGAATGAAAGAAAGAAACAAAGCAAAGCAAGGCAGGATAAAATGTGAATGGAATAATTCAATTAATTAGTTTGACAAATTTTATTATGCTTGTTTTAATTTATTTTTCTAGAACCTGAAATGTGAGAACTAAAAGGTGGAAGGAGAAAGAAGAAAAAAATTAATTTATTTGCATTATTCAGAAATTTTTCATTTATTTTTATTTTTCTATCATCAAATAAATCATTTTTGAGAGTTTGTTTCAATCGATTACAATAGGTAGGTTGATGCAGCTTTAATCTCCAATAGTTTAATTAATTAATATATATATATATAGAATTTTTTTCTTCACTTGAAATACAATATAATATATATCTGCAGCTATTCCTTAAAGCGAATTAATTAATCTACAATGATAATTATCATAATAATATAAGTATTATAAGCTACCTGCTTCTTTACGACTAAGATTAAGATTTTTTTCTTTCTTTTTAAATAAATTACAGAATATAATTATTTCAAAATTACACTTTTTTACGTCCAATTTTTTTCTACATTTTTTTTATAATTATTTTTTTTTGTTCATTTTTAATTTTTCATTAAGTAACTGAAACTAATTGTTTGTATGTGTTTGTGTATTATCCATTGTTAAACTTACAGTAAGGGAAAATTATGAGCCGTCAATCAAACACAAAAAGAGGAGGAGAGTCTGTTTTTGAGACTTAATTGAGTTAAAAAGAGTTCCACAATTAATTCGGTCTTGCCAAGATACAACGTGCTATTGTATTAACACAATCATAGTTAATTAACAAATTTATATCATGTTTTTCCTCTTAATTGAACCGATAAATTGGCAATTAATTCCGCTTTTCATAAAATTATAATTTATTAACATTATTTTATACAATTTTTATCACACTGAAATTTAATTCTTCTTAATGAAATTTACTTTGATGCCAAATTATGGATGGGATGCTAGGGTGTAGCTAGGTGGGTTGGGGTTGATTTTAGGATTCCTTATTTTGACTCCCTCCCCCTCCTCATAGCTACACCGCTAATAGGACAAGATTATATAAAGTTTAGAACACTTCACTATTATTCATAAAATATGTCATCATGTCGTGGATGGAAACTTTTTTCATTTCTTGGAAAATTAAAATTTATTTTTTTTTTCGAGAAAAGCTTTTTTAGAGGCACAAAATGGTTATAGAAATAATCCTTCCTATAAAGTTATTTTTTTCTGAGTGACTTTTTACATCTTCTTTGGCTCACGAAAGGCTCCGGAAGAATATTTGTAGGTTGTTTATTCAGTTTTCCACAAATAATTGCATTAAAAATGTACATAAATAGAATCGAATCATTTGATATTTAAAAATGTTCAAAATTTAACGGATTTTTTTTTTATTTTTGAATCTTTTTCTTACCTTAAATTCAAATATTATCCGTTAAATAAAATTCTTTCCGCATAAAATTATACAATAAATAATAAGCCTGACCATGTCGACAGTTCTGAGCACAAAAAATGGACAATCAACATCTTCAAATATCAAACAATTCATGAAGTATCCTTAATGAGGTTCTTACGGGTAGATTTGTTTACTATACACAGCTAACACAAAAAAAAGTTCAACTAATAACTTCAAACATACAAATCGTCTAAATACATTGATTCTCAATAAGCTGTCGTTGGACCGTGATGAACTAAATGATGATGATGATGACTAAAATGATTTAAATGATTCATAGTCTCATGTGTTGTTGGTGTTGTTGGATGATACCAATCATTTGGATGTTGCGGATGATATAATAAATGATGATTATGGTGACCAGCAACGAGCATCGATGCAGTGGCAGTTTGTGATGGTGAGTTAGAATTGAGGGCAGGAGATGGTGCACTTGAAGATGAATTTGGTGTTGTTGATGGTTGTGGAGGTGCCAATTGATTTGTATTTTGATGTATATGATGTGAATGCAAATGATGTGGATTTGCATGTGAGAGTGCATGCGGATGTGTAAGATGTGAGTGATGATGATAGGACGAATGCTGACCTGTTGCTGATATATCTGTAAATCTATTCGGTGCTGCTGGCGATTTTGTATGGTTATTGTTGTTATTTGCAGTTGTCTCATTATTATTGTTGTTGTTATTATTATTATTATTATTGTATTTTAAGTCATGCTGTAAACGTGATGGCGGCGTTTCATTTCCACCTGTTACAATACTTGACGCACTCGATTCTTCTCCTTCACTGTCATATTGATGAACTGGTGATTTCTCATCTACTAAACTTCCATGAACCTATAAAAGATGAAATTTATTAGTAACTAGACATTAATCAATTTATTTCATTTTAAATGCTATGCTTTGCTATGGACATTCAAAATATGAAGCACTTATGACACGAATAATAATTATTATGGCAGTTCTCATACACTTCCATCCATAAATTCGAGAGAATATTATTCAAAGTATGAAAAAATATTGATATTAAATTACGATAAGAGAAATAAGTGTTCATTTTTTATGCTACATAAATTTTATAAAAGGTACGAATGGAGAAAATAAAAGAAACTGAAATGTCATCATTCAATTTCAAACTTGCCATAACTTGCATACATAATATGTAAAATGTATTATGAATTTACTACAACTATTGGGTGTGGACGGAAAAAGAGGGAAATTTAAAAAAACTTTTTGAACAATTCAAATTTTACGAAAAATCTTTAAATTTAAATGACAAATTTAGAACAAAAAAATCAAATATTACAAAACCGTTGAATTTTAAAAGAAAGTTTTTACTTCATTCAGGACAAAGCAAACAATTTTGTCCACACCCCTATGTAAATTGAAGCATCGAATAGCAAGAATAATGTTGTTGTGTTTCTCTCTTACCTTCATATGTTTCCTTAGCGATGATGGATGCGTGTAAGATTTATCGCAACCTGCCACTCGACAATTGTACGGCTTATCGGATGTATGTACGTGTGAATGTTTTTTCCTATCTGATGAATTAGCAAAACGCCTATCACAACCCTCGTGTTCGCATTTAAATGGTTTTTCACCTGTAAAAATGAAATGGAAAGAAAGAAAAAGATTAAATAAATGGCTGAATGGAAGCGAGAAAAATTTGTAATTCAAATTATTAATTATGTATTCATTTCGGTCATTTTTCACTATCTGTATGCATGGATTTATGATATGAATTAATTAAATATGAAGGTGACATATGAAAAAAGCATAAAATAATCTGTTATTGTATACAAGTGAAAGCATTACAATCGATCAATTTGCCAGACTTTTTCTCGCCATATCCATAATAAAGAAGACCAAACAATGAATTAATTTCCATATGTTTTGATTCATGTAATTTAGCATATAAACTGGTTATAAACATTATGTATGCTCTCCGTCTCTTTACTCTGCATTTTCTTCGCATTATATTAAATTTACATATCATTTGCTGTATATAGTGTTACATTCTCAATGTTCTTTAGTTCCTTAAAGTCTGTCGAAACATGAAATTTGTAAAACTTGTAATTTTAATTGTTTTATGGATGTTATATTTCTTCGAATCCCATTCCAAAATCTTCACAGAACAAGCAATAAAGAAGAAGAAGAAGAAGGCAAGAATTAACTTTTGGCCAAATGTGCGATTTTTTTTTGGCAATAATGAGGAAGTCAAATTCTAAAAGTCAACAACAGTGTCGTAAAAAAAGTCCTTCGTGTGTTCTTTTCCTTTGAAAGGATACATTTCTGCTTTGTGTTAAAATTCTTGTAAGTTTCAATATTGATTTATGGCTGTACATGTTGTAAAACAATTGATTTTTATTGGTACTTTTCAGAGGAATTTCTGGTTTCATAAAAATTAACTTTTCTGCTTAAAAGGACTTTATTGATTTGAATATTATGGTCAATAACTTTGCGAAACATGTGAAGGTAATGGAAAGATTGCTTTATTGCAAGGATACAGAGAACTAAAGATTTATTGCTTAAAGTTTTGCATTTTTTTCTGCGAAAAATTCTAAAATTTGATTTTAAACATTTACATCCTATACTGGAAAAAACTATCAACAGCTCATAGAATACAACATGTCACAATCCCAAAGCAATTTAATAGAACAACGTTCAAAAATAATTCAATTTTCTTTAATATCATCTCATATCCACATATGACACACCCAAAGAACATCCATAAACCATTTACCTGATGCTCCTCAAGTTCCTTAATCCACAAAAAAGTATCAAAAATCTCAATGAAAATTCAAAACGAAAGAAGAAACAAAAAAAAAAGTTAAAAAAATATTTGTAAAATGTCAAAAATTTATGAGTTGTCCAATTTTCTCGAAATGATGATATTTATAATATTCTAATGTAACAGGCAAATGATTTCAGTCTTGGAATAAATTTTTATATTTTATTGCCCTGAAGTCTCGAGACGATATTCTGTGTCTGAATATTCAAACAAGAGACAAAGAGGGAAAAATTTTATGTGTTATATCTGAAAATGTATCTCGATACAGTCCAGCAAGTGAGTGAGATGGAGTATATGAAACTTCAACATTCCATAAATTTGTAAATGATAATATTTTACGGCACGCGTATTAATTATAGTTGTATTTTAAACATTTAATATGGTTTCTTCAATCTTCTTCACTTTTTCTTTCGTTTTTTTGTGTCGCTCTGCTCGAGATGTGCTGTGTCTTATAATTGGAATCAAAAGTCTCCTTTTATTAATTGCATTTAATTAGAATTTTATAGACATCGAGTTGAGAGATTTCATGCAATCTTAAATGACACGGACACCCGAGAATGTCAAGATGCATGGCTAGTGGAATTTAAATATCTCGTGATTCAACTGTCACCAGACAGCATAAACAAAAAACAAAACGAGACAAATAATACGCCATAAAATCTCAACAAATTTGTTTTAGATTCTTTCCCTCAGCCATAAGCAATGATATTAGTGAACTATCACAGTATAAGATTAATAGTTGTCTGATAAGATTAAAATTTATTATAGAAATTATCTCGCTGTAATGATTTCTCTATCTAATTTCGTGTCTAATTGTGGCGTCTAATATTCAAATTTTATTTCAATTCTGTTTTCTTTTAAGCCTTCTTTATTTATTCAAACGATATTAATTGTACGCATGTTTAGAAATGAAATGAATGAGAGAAATTCTTGTGGTCTGTCCATCTATCTAAACATACATTTTATTCGTGCACATATAAATTCAACTTCTGGACTAAGAATATCATCGAAATATATATGAAAAAAAAAAATAAGTTTCAAAGAAGAAGGAATACAAGATTATTATCTTGAATTTTATTGCTTGTTCTCTTATGTTTCTTTCCCATTCACTCCTCCTCACTTACGTAGTCACCATTCAAAATATCTGATTTTAATTAAAACAAAATCCAACTATTGGATTTATTGAAAAGACATAAATGAACATTTTTCTTCTTCCTTCAGAAATTTTTGACGAATTTGTGTATAATTAACAACATAATAATCACAAAACGTCCAATTGTATTGTCAGGAAGTTGTTAAACTTAATACAACAAATCAATCTCTATCCTTCGCTGCTTGAAATGTGGAAAAGTCAATTGAATTGACATAAAATTTCTGATCATCTCGATTTTCTCACAGACATTAATTTTCTTCTTGCTTGCTATCTTGTGCTTTATGTGTTCTAATAATTAAGTTAAAGTTGATTTTGCTGGTTATTATTGTTTGAATTATGAAATAAGAATGAAATTCAAAACATTGCAAATTGGGTCTACAACTTTGAAGCGGGGTTTGAAACTTATATTCAAGTAAAATTTACACGTTGCTTAATAATTCCCATCCGAATGTTAGCCTTAAGAAAACCCTAATCAGAATGCTTGACAGAAGAACAAGGAATCATGCAAAAAGTCGTTAATCATTCAACATTTCTTCATGATTAAAATCTGATTCTTTTTGTATCTGTTCATATTTTTATAAGTCAAATTGATTTTATCAATCCTCAATTCCTAATGAATTTAAAATCCGAGAGAGCTCATTAATCAAAAACAATATTCTGTGTTTTTATATAAGTCACGACATTTGCAATACACAGAACAACAAGCAAGTAAGAAGAATTGATTTAAATGTTTCCCGAATGTGCTTAATCGTACAGAAAATAATAAAAAACAATATTTTTTTTACTTTTCAATTCTTCCCTGCCAAAGCAAGTCAGTCAGTGCATGTCGCTCATCTCCGCCTTCATATTTCACATGAATATTTGGTACACACTGTCTGCTGGATGTATGGTTTTGAAAAATAATAATTAAATGAATCATTTCGACAACAACGACGACGAAGATATTTTTTTCTCTCATCGCTTATACAATAACAGTAATGTATGAATACAAATCAAGTACACTCACTGTACGGTTGTAGGATATAGTCTCGCTACCCTATACATCCTCGCTCTCATTTACAATAACATTATGTTGAGGGCGACATAAACCATAAAACATATTTATGATAAACTTCAAATAAACAATTTAATAATCCACACCGTAAAACATTATTAATATTCTCATTACAATTTCATATATAAATATATTTACATTGGGGGATGATTGTTGAACGAGCGTATGCACTGGATTTTGTCGCACTTTTGTCTTTATCTCTCTCTCGGTAAATGTGTAATGTTAATAATGCGGAACAATTTATTCTGATTCTATTGATACTTTTTTAGCTCGTTTTTCTATTTATTCAATTCTTTAACTTATGTCAAATGATCAGCGATTAATTAAGCAACTCAATTATTTAAAAATTTAAGGGGTGTAAAACTACGAATTTCATTTCATTTATTGAAATTCAAACAATTGAATTTTTTAATTTCTGGACCTATAAAAATTTCTTCCAGGTGAACCGCGCTAGCCATAAAATAACAGCAACTTAAACACACGTATCAATACTCTTATTTAGTATAATTTTCCTCTCCGTCTCACTCTCTCGGGACATTTTAATTTGAAAAGTTTTTCCGAGCAATAATAACATAGCTGCAGTAGATGTCAGAGAGCAAAAAATGAGGGTGGCAGTACGCCTCGGAAAAATCCCTGCTCTTGTCATTGAAATTGTTTGGTGGAAATTTAAATAAAATATTAAAGTCATATATCATAAATTTCTTTTTTTTTCATCCCATTCATAGCATTCGCCCTCGAAAGAGTCAACTGCGAATGAAAGGGAAAATTTTCTCGCTTTTTATTATGTTTTTTTTTTTTTTGATAGTGTATGCGGTTCAATGAAATGAAATTATTTTATACATAATATACCATGAATGAGAGACTCTATTGTCAATGTCATTGAAATAGAAATTAAAAAATGATCAATTTTTTTTAAAAAAAATTTGATCACATACAGGCTAGGATAGCACGAGAAAGAAGGAAGGTCAGCATCGTCATCATCAAGTAAAGATCAATCACGTAAGATATTAAAAGCGAGTGAAAAAGTGATTAAAAAACATGCAACATCATCCAGTCATCTGGTTATATTAAGAAGAATGAGAAAATGATGGATTACAAGACAGGTTACTAGGTTAGAATAACTTCATTGCCTTCTTCTCAAATTTAAATCTCAACAAATCTGCCTTATAAAAGCTAATTTTACGAGATTTTCTATTAACATTACAGATTATTGTCAAATCATCGTTACGAAATTTTTCATTTCTTCAGATGTTTTGTTGCATAAGAAGAAGAGATTGATTAAAAAGGAGAGAAACTGGTTAATTGTCATTGAAAATTGAATAACCGCAATTAACATTCGCAAAGCTCGAATAATTAAGATTAATTGGAGATTCAGGAATGGATTTTAGTCTTAAATTGAGTTATTATTGAAATTTGGTAATCTGATTGATGAAAAATGATGAACGTTGATGCTTATAATAAATTGTTGATTACCATTTTGCTGATGAACAACAATGATAAACGTCTAATAATTAAGTTTAAGAGAGTAAGGAAAGAAGCTTTGCAAATATATAAAATTCAAATTTATTTCCACTGTTGAAATACAAAAGGAATTTTTTTTAAG